CAGAGCCAGGGTGTCAGAAACAGAAAATGGAAAGGAAGTCTGTGAGCACAGAGGGGCAAAGAGGCTGTACTCCTTGGCAATGGGGAAGCCTAGAGAAACCACCTGTCTGGACAGGACAGTCAGCTCTAATGAGTTACAGACAGACAGGGAGACAACATGTTTCCCTTCATCTGGGAGCTCACCTGCTTCACACACCACTCAACCTTACATCTCACCTGTTCTCTATTATCGAGGCTTATCAGCCACAAGCTGGAACTCTGAGATCAGGCCTTTTCCCCCAAAACCATCTTTCTGCTGTCTTCCTGCAGCAGTGAGGTGCAGGATGTTCTGAGGGGAGCCAGCCCTAGGAGGACACCCATCTGTCTCTAAAGAAGGGCCTGGGGAGTGATGATAACACAGACCCAGAGGACTGTACATTCCGTAACTTAGAAAGAAAGCAAATATATTCTCTTTCTGAAGAGGATATATTCTTCTTCTGAAGAATCCAGTTACATTGACTTACCAGGCTAATTCCCCTGTACTCTTACTGCTTGCCCACTCAAGCCTACCTGGATCAAAAGCTAGGCCTCCTCAGAGACAGGGAGATTGGAAAATAATGATTTTGTTCAAATCTGAGCCTGCACATGGGATTGTAAAAAAGCCTCCTCAAAAATATAAAAGGTGTCATTCACCCTTAAATACCACCCCTACCCATGCCTACAGTATTGTGTTTACTCATCCTAACTTATTACTAATGCTGTTGTCAGCAGATACCCCAAAGCCCACGGGCTCCTTCCCTCCCTCTTTCCTGTCCACAGCAATAGCAGATTGCCATCCTCTATCAGCTAATTCATCAGCCCTCGTGGCAGATGTCTGTGTGCTGGATCTAAAGCTTCCAGCCCAGCAATGACTCAGAGTTTAGCATGCTGGGGCTTTCATTTTGCATTGAATCACTGAAAGCTTTCACCCAGAGTAATATTAAAAGTAGTCAAGGGCTGCAACATCAAGCACTCCAAAGTCAGGAATGTATACAGAAAAGCCACTTATGCAGAAATAAAGTTTAGTATATGTGTGCATGAAGAAGGAGATGATAATTAAGGACCGCATCTTAGGGAAGTGAGTATTTTTGTTGTTTCCAGCTCACTTAGGGCACAAGGTGAACACCATCTAGCAAAGGAATAGTTTGCTATAAGGAGTCCAGCTTCAACTCAACAGGAGGTGGAAAAGAGGCAGAACAGAAGAAACTCGGAAGAAAGAACACAAAGTCCAGCATTGCAGTGAAAGTGCCTCGGAGCCCTGAATCCCATGCCTGCATTTTCACTTGGGAGGAGCAAATTACTTGAAACAGATTCATTCCAAGTGGTCAGTCATTGCCTATTCCTTGTCTCCTAAGTCCTAGGAGAATCAAATGACAGAAACAGTCTATCCCAATCTTCCTTGCAGAAGCAAGGGACAGAAACAAGACAGTGAAAGTATCAATCTTTGCTGGATGCCATGAGACAAATCTGATTCCAGGCATCTTAAACCATCTATCACAAATGAGTAGGTGTGATCATAACACAAGGAAGAAACATTTGTCTCTCACAGGGTCCCCCCCAAAAAAATAATCCACACTTCTGCAATGCTCCCAGGGATGAGCAATAAGCAGAACAAAAGAGCCTACGAGGAGATTAACAGTTCTGTCTTCAGTGTAGGATCTGCACAGTGCACAGTAAACACAGGACAAGGCTGCACAGTGAACACTGAAGGTAAAACAAAACACTGAGTAGCTGCTCATTATGTGGGAGTTTTCCATTTGGAGGAGGCAGGGGTCTCTAGATGGAGGAAGAATATCTGTGATATGTGTAAAGGCCATATCACAATGCTCATATTGAGGGGGCTGAGCTGACACTGAACACACGACCTGAGTGCACTCACTAAACCTGCTTTTAAAGGGTGCTGGAATGGCTCATATGAACATGATTTAACATGCTCCAAACAAGAGTCAGCTGGGCTGGTTTAAATCATACATTCATGTTCTGAGATAGTTCTGCTATCTGCTCCAGCACAGACAGGGAAACCATCAACAGGTATCTCTGGTGGAGTGGTGGGAAGACATTGCTGCCTCATATATGGGCAGGGAAAGGTACTTGGGAGCAGAAATATCCCAGCCAACAGCACATGACCTAGAGGAGACTATCACTTCAGTCTCATCTGCAAGACTGATACCACTAGAAACAGCTGAGAATATCCCCTCACTCCATGTAGGTCAATGTAATGACACTGATCATCAGAGTTACTGTGTCAAAATCAGTGGCACAGAGATCAAAAACTTCCTGTTGTGCTCTCTGTTATTCTGACCCATCCATTCCTTCCTAAGGATGATATGGTCCTTACTGTATCTGAACTGCTTTAAAACTAAAATAAAATAAGCACACTTTGTAAAGGCAGGAAGAACAGTGAACCACAAGTGCTTTGGATTATTTTTATACAGTAACTACAGCAAACACTCAGCCCTGGAACACTCAGTGCTGGAATCACTGTAGCTGTGGCATTGTGTGTGTGCCTCATACCCACTTCACTTATTTCTGTGTCACTCATCCTCTCTGCTCCAGAATGAACTTTTTTTCAAAGGAAAGAGCTTATCTCCCATACTGCAGAGCAGAAGAAAAATCCTCCTATGCAGCAATATTTAAAACATGGTTTTATGGTCTTATGGCAGCTAATTTTCCTTAAGTGATTTAAGGGAATGAATACATCTAAAAGTCCTGCACTGAGCTGCTCTGCAATGGCAACATGAAGCCAAACTTCCTCTTGCTTTAAACAATCCAGTCTTCAGTGGACAGCCCTTCACAGCAGATCTTGTCTGCAATGGCTGGGATGAAGGTTATTTTTTTTATTACATAATTTCTCAGGGAATTGGGGTTTTCATTTTATTTCATTTCATATTCCCCAGTGTGGGAAGACTTCAGGTGAGGAGAAGGTGTCAGGACAGACATGTTCAAATGCAAAATGCCTGATGTGTCACAGTTTGACACCAGCCCTCCTGCAGCAGGTCACCTGTGCATGCAGCCAGCCATCTATCATGTATTAGTCATCTGAAAGTAACACTACCCCTGAAAACCACCTAAAATTTTAGCTGCCTGAAGGGATTCAAAGCAGGTTTTATTCTGGCACTCTGTCATAACTCAATAAAAGCAGCCAGTGCTACAGCAGGGTGGTGCATGGACAGCCCCATGCCCACCCTCTGAGGCAGCTGAGTCTCCCCCAGCACCTTGGGTATGGTCTTTTTATACCAACATTACTGGGATCAGGGGGACTAAGGATCTGGTATTGCCTGAAATACTGAAAATAACAGTAATCCTATATACTGCATTGAACTGCTGAGCATCCCTGAAACTGCCAGAAAGTCTGGTGTTGACAAGGGGATGATAAAGCCAGGCAAGAAGGTTTTTTTCAGTGGGTAGCTAATTCATGGAGAAATGGAATTCTGAAGAGCAACCTGAATTTTGCTGGTACCTTAATAAAAAAATTTAAAAAAATATTTAAAAAAAAAAAATAAATTAAATAACCTTGAAAATGAAATGTTACATTTGTGTTTTAAAAGGCTCCCTTTTCATTCCCTCAGAAAGAAATGAATTGGAACTGGTTCATCTCAGGCTGATCACTGGGTAGAATGGGAGACAGAAAGATGGAGAAAAAAAATATTTCCATTTCAAATCAGCTCTCACCAAACAGTTCTTTTGATTTTTGATTTTTCATTTTAGTCACCAAAGCAAATTAATTCATTATTCACACATAGGACAGCTGGAAGCTACCAGAATTTCCAAAGCTTCCTTAGAATGGGATGAAGCTGAAAAGAACTTCCCCCTACCTCCAAGAATAGCTTTACTTTATTGACAGTGATTTTTAACAGTGCCAGGATTTGTTGCCTTATTGGCTACAAGGATTTTCCTATACCAAACTTTCTTATAATGTTTAAAGACCTCTTCATTCTTAGAAAAAAAACTCTTCTCAAAGCAGTCTGAATGCTCTCCACCTCATCTAGAAGCAAAATTGTCTTGCTTTTTGGGGTAGAAAATAGAGGAAAGACCAGGCTGGCTCCAAAGCTCCTTCCTGTGCCTTTCCATTATTATTATCATCATTTTAATAGAGCTTGGGAGGCTTGGTCAGAGGCACAAAGCACAAGGTGCTGCAGAAACTGAATAGAAGGACAAACTCTGTGCCAAACAATTAGCAGTCTAAGAAAATATTTTCCATGCAATTGGATTCCAGTCCATATGTAAGGATCTTATCTATTAACCTATCTACCTTGTACTTTCACAGAAACAAAAAGGAAAGAAAGAAAAAACAAAAGGGAAAAATTATCAAAACTTCAGGGACTTAAAGATTCAAATTCCCTCTCCATTGTGAGGAGCAAAAAGAAAGAACAAATTCCAGGAATCCCATAATGAAAAAAATAATAATCTATAAAATCTCCTCTTATTTTTTGGTAGTGATTTTTTCCTACCCATCTCCATTTTTTTTTTTAGCAGTTTTTCTTAGGTGCCACGTTCAATAATCCTTCTGCACTTTGATGTCAAACATTCAATAGCTGTCTGCCTCCCTCCCACTCCTCTTCTCCATATTCCCTGCAATCCATCTCCTTTGATTAGCTCAGATTTCACCTTCAAGAACACCTCTCCTTCTCTGAGCGAGCACGAGTGTGTGTTTATATAACATTTGCAAATATTCTCCCCCTCCTGCACTGCACACCACACAGCCACCACCGCCAGAGCCCCGGATTAAGCATCGCTGCCATTCCCTAATTCAATTTTGGGGAGCCTGCTGTTTCAAATCCAGCTCAGAGCATGAGAGCAGCTTGACTGAACCTAGGCCCCTCTTTCAGAATTATTTCCTCCTTAATCTGAACTTCATTTCACTGGCTTTCTCCACTTCTGGCGCTTCCTGTGGCACAAGGAGCAGCTGTTCCCTGATGTCCTGCAGGGATGGGGTCGGTGCCTCGGCAGGAGGGGTGGCTCAGCAGCTCTGTGCCCACTCACCGGGTTGTTGTACATGTCGATGATGAGCTCCTTCACTCCGTGCAGGGTGGGATGAGCCCACGGAGAGGGATTCGCCCAGTGCCGGTTCAGATCAAACCCCATCAGGGAGCACCTGCACACAGACACAGAACACACACAAAGGGCTTAGGTGGGCTGCAGCCTCTCCTCAGATCAGCTGCAGAATTAGGGTTCTATTCTGCAGCTGAAGCAGTTAAATGTTGTTCTCCTGGGGGAAACAAAGCAAACGCTCCCCCGAGGAACGACTGCAGCCACGGCACCTTTCAGAAACAACGTGAGCAGTAGAAAATCAACTGAGCCAGCTTTGGTCATTCCCCTCCATGACCTGTGCTCTCTGTATCCTTTGCCTTTTCCCAGCTTGGCAGGCTGGCTCTGGAACAGCCTTGCCTGACCTTGGAGGTTCCCTGCTTGCTCTGGCTGAGGGTCTGCAGCCATGAGGGTGATTCACATCACCAAACTGGACCTTCAGCTTGTCCTCAGCCAGCCTTTGACTCAGCAGGGCTGTTCAGAGCATTGCTCTCAATGGCCATTAAGTTTGTTTTTAAGGGATTTAAAGCATGAATGTCATTGTTCTACTAACCCAGGGCCTCGTCTCTCCCCCTCCTGCAATTGTCTACACAAAAGTTAGCCAAGCAAATCAGCAAGTTAAAATGTTCATTGGCCTTCAGATCCTGTAGGTGCTGGAGCGTGGATGCCACCTTGGCTTCTCCTTCCTGCCCTGACTCAGATCCCTCCCAGGACACTGTCCCAAATTGGATTCTGCTGCTCACAGCCCCACAGAGTAGTATCCAAATTCTTTGTGAGGACCCACTGAAACTCAGGAGGCTGTCAATAGAGTGAGCACTAAAATTGAAAATTTGAAAAAGGAATTAAAAAGCTGTGAGTGGTACAAGTAGGAGAAGGGGAATATCAGGTCCCTTGCCTACTGAAGAGATCACCTACAAAATCTTTGGCTACTGATACATGCAGGAGAAGATCTGTCATCTCAAGCTAAGCTTGGGATGAGTTGGGTAAATTCTTGCTCAGGAATTCTAGTTAAAACAAACAAACAAAAAAATCAACCTCACTGCTAAGCCTTAAAGCTTCTTGGGAAAAGAAGAGCTTTCATTGATCCCATGTCTATTACAAGAATGTCTGTTCAGCCTTAATCTTTTAAACACACCTTTGCAAACAAGAGATTCACTCCAGCAGTGCTATCCTTTGACAAAAAAATTCTAAAAAACTGAAGACCTAAAAGATAGGTTTAATTGGCAAAGAGAAAGGAAAATAAAAGAGAGGTAAAATACTTTAAAAAGTGGGGGAATGAAATCAGAGAAGATGAAATTAATTTCCAATCCTGATGAATAAATATTTTCCTATGAACCAAAGGATACAAAGTTAATGGGACATTATTTTTTAAAAACTCTTATGGGTATCTAAGCAAGCAGGAGCTGCTTTTCTCTTTGGGCTTACAGAAGCCAACCATCAGCTCTCTGGTAGCCCAAACACCCAACTGCAGCTCTGCAGCTCCATCACTGCTGACGTGGGTGGCTTGCTGGGGTGCAGAGGCCACCTCCTTGTCCTGGTGGCCACTTCTCTGCTTGTATAGAGACCAGAAGGATTTTTTCCTGGACATTTTAAACAACTACAATTGCACAGACAACTCAAAGTTGCTGCCATCCAACTCCACAGCATATTGTGTCAGATTTCTCTCTCTCTCTTCTTTTTGTCTGCATGTAAACTCTCTGCACTCGGCTCTACTAAATCCTATCTTCTTTTGAACTCATAGACATTAATAAAAACCAGAAGTATTTCCAGAGACGTAGGTGGAATTACACTGGGATAAAACAGGCAGAAGAGCAGAACGAGAGGAGTGAGTTTTTCATTTAATAAAAGCAGAAAATGTCATGAGTTTTACTGTATTTTGGCACAGTTCCCAAGAAAACAACATTCTTACTGTACAAAAACTTTTTTAGGAGCTCAGAATCTGAATCTGTATTTATGTAGTTAATGTGTCACATTTACATTTTCTTTTCATAATATTTAACACTAGAGAAAATTACCATACTGTCAATATTAAATCTGGGGTTTGGGACTTTTTCTATAACTTTATCTAAGTCATCCCCATAGAGAAAAGAGGTAACAAGTACCTAATTTTTTGTAAGATTCTAAATAAGGCATTGCAATTTGCAGTATTTGGATGTGTCAGGAATGTCTGGCAAGTGATGAATCTCATAGTTTATTTAAAGCAACAAGAACAGTTGAAAATAGTTGTCTTTACTTGAAAAGACTTTATAAACAGAAGGAAGCAATGCTTAGCAAACAAGTTATTCATTTGGGAAGCTCCTCTGAGCTCTGTTTAATAGGAATCCAAATTAATTTCCAAATATCATTTAGCTAGTCTTTGATGTGGTATATCACATATTTATCAATGTAACAACAATTAATTAACTTTCTGATGTAGGCATTACTATTTCTTTCCAGTCTGGAAACAGTGCAATATTTTCTCCCCGCTTCCAGTTTTCAAGTCTTTTTTCTTTCCCTTTTTTGCCTAAAGACAAATTTGTATCTACCACATTCTCTCTTTATTCATCTGCTGCAAACTTGTGGCCTCTCTAAGGAAACATCAAGTTGTGTTCCTTGGTACTTCAGATTTGATTATTGACTCTATTACATGTAGAGCTGTCTCCCAATGCTCACGTATATCAGGACATGACCAAAACACACGGCAAGAGCCTCCCACGTGCCTCTTATGGATCCTGCATTAATTTTATTATCTTGCTCCCAGCTGATGTGATCTCCCTCATGGCTAATGCCTCCAGTGCAAGAGCTTGAACAGGATAACTTAAAAATTCCATCTTGCACTGCTTTTTAATTCATCCTCCCAGTCTTAAACCAGCTAATTTCTGGAACGCTTTGCTGCTGGTGTCACTGCTTAACTGTTTGCCTGCTGCTTCAAACCCTGGGAAGGAAAAGTAGAAATACAGATGTGCTCTGGGAACAGCAGCTCTATGGTGGGAAACACGTGTGTTCTAAAATATTGCATAATCTCTCAATATTTGAGACCAGTTCTTTTACTCAGAGTGCAAATGTTGTCATTTGATTCAATGTGGTTCCTCACATGGCTGCAAGTGTCCCCCTAATTTAGAAAGGGCCTCCAAATTGCCCTATGCAGATTAGATTTATTTTCTGCTACAATATAAAATTAACAAGGCAGGGGGGGAACCCTAAATTATATCCAAGGACTGTTTAAGGATGATCTTAGGAAGGGGACACAGAGATAAGAAACTAGGAACAGGCTCCAAGAGGTACAAGGGAAGACAAAAACAACTTCAGAATTAGTGATGGTTGGAACAAGGGCACTGGAGGATATCCCATTCCATGAAGCTTAATGACCATGCCCAAGAATGCTCTCATGAACGTGGCAGGGCACAATGCCACAGAGCCTGATGAGAATGGTGTGCTGACACAGACTCTCCCAAGTGAGGAAAAAGCACAGTCAGAACAGGTAACCTCCAACCAAAGTAGTAACCTGCAGCTATTATCTGTTTTTGGTCTTTATTCCTCCTGTAAAAACCTGGGTTTTGGTCACATAGTCACTGCAGCCACAAAAAAAATGACATGCATGTAACTTAAAGCAATTTAAGCTGATAACCATTGTTTGAATTTTGGATTATGCTTGCTATAGTTTGCTAGATATACAGACCACATGCTGTGTTTCTGCTTCGTGACTGAATGTTCATTTAAATCAGGTTCTGTGAATATTCCTGTTGAATTAGAATTTGTGTTTCACCAATGTTTTCCAGCCTTTTTCTAAAATTTCTGTTTTCTGTAAGTAGATAAATTTATTACAGTGTTTATAAATTTACATAAACACAGCGCAAATTCAGTCAAAGCAAATGAGTTTCAAAATTGCACTGGAAACTGAAACATTTTGCAGTATTCATCCCTCCCTACTTGGGAGGCAGCCAGATCTGAAGAGGTTACCAGCACAACTCAGTACAACCAAAGATGTTCAGACCAGCTCCCAGCTTGCTGGGCAGTTCTCTGGACAGAACCCCTTTGCCTCTGGGACTGAACCCATCACTGCTTTTAAGGGTTTTTCACGTGGCTGCTTTAGTGACAACATCCTGAGGAAGGATTTAATGCCAAGGCCCATGCCTTGGTTTATTTTTCAGGGATTCCTCCTATTCTTTCAGGTTGTGCCTCTTTTTCCTGGAATCTCTGAGTTACAGAAACCTCCAGGAGCTCTGCCTTCTTTTACCTTCAGTTCTCCCTGCCCTGCTCGTTTTTCCTACCAATGTGAGTCTAAGTCTCTTCCTAACAGACCCATTTCCACGAGGTGAGAGATGGAGAATAATGGAGGAAAGGAAGTAAAGAAATCCCTTTTCACGCCATGTGATTTATTACAAAGAGAACTCTGCACCCTTCCCTTCGGCTTTGTACGGCTGCGTTGGTTCATTGGATCAGCACCAGGTGAATCTCCAGATAATCTCCACACACAAAGCCGGGCAGTTCCAGCCCACAAGTGGCTCTACCAGCAGGGCCAGGGTTTGAAAACTGGATTTGAAGCTGGGAAAGCAGTGAGGAAAGGGGAGTGCAGGCAGAGGGTGAGAGCTGGTGGCTCCTGCTGCCCTTTCTGGAAGGCAGGGTGGCAGCAGGCAGTGCCATGGGCCTGCAGCCAGGGATGGCACCCGGCAGGAGTGCGGAGAGACAAGGGCAAGGCGCAGAAGACTTTCTTCTTTCCGCAAATCTCATTTCAAAACCGATATATTCACGGCGTTTTACAAACCAAATCCGCACCTGCCGGCCGAGTCAGGTCTTCATTAGTGCACGTTTCACCCTTTGGGTGCTCGGGGTTTGCTGTTTATGCATTTACCTATTAGTATTGAAAAGGATTCATTCAAGCCCACATTTTCTAAAGCAATTAGGTAGCGAGACATCCTAGTGCTCCAGCTACAGAGAACCCCTGCTCTGAGGACTCTCTCCTCCTCCCCAGCTTTGTGCATTTTTAATTTAGAGCTCTGGAAACCTTGACAAAGGCTATTTAGCAGCAGCACTGCAGTGTGCTCCAGGCAGAGCAGGCTGGCAGTGCAGAGAGCAGCATTAGCTCCC